CTCTACTCTGCTCTACTCTACTTGAAACCTGTCCTGTTCCATCAACTCTACTCTAGAACCTGTCCTGTTCCATCAACTCTACTCCTGTCCTGTTCCATCAACTCCTGCACTATATGTTTGAAGCACATCCTAGGAACTAGTCTTGCAAGGGAGCTGCTGAGAGGGAGGGTGTATAAACCCGCCAAGGAGTCTCTTGGAACAATATCCCTCCCAGATCCTTCCTAACTTGGAAACAAGCGCATAAAAGTGATCTCTCTGTAACATAACATGTCAGGGTTTCTGACACATCCAACTTTTAAGATGTGTGGACTTCGACTCCCAGGATTCTTGCTGGCTGGGCAATTCTGGGAGTAGAAAACCACACCGGCCTAAGTCATAAAAGATGCAGTACAGATAGTCCTTGATTTATGACCCCCAATTGAGCCCAAAATTTATGTTGCTAAGCGAGATATTTATTAAGTGACCTTTTCCCCATTTTACAAACTTTCTTGCCACAGTTGTTAAGTGAATCATTGCAGTTAGTAACATGCTGGTTAAGTGAATCTGGTTTATCCGTTGATTTTGCTTGTTGGGTGATCACAGTGATCGCATGATCCCGAGACACTGCAACTGTCATAAATGTGAGACAGTTGTCAGTAGTCTGAATTTTGATCACGTGACCATGGGGATGCTACAGCGGTTGTAAGTGTGAAAAATGGTCATAGGTCACTTTTTTCAGTGCTGTAATAACTTTGAACGGTCACTGGTTGAACTGTTGTAAGTTGAGGACTTCCTATAATTGCATGAATCTGTCTCTTGTAGCCCGAAAAAGCATGATTCAGCTATATTGTCTTTCTCATGCAATATTAGTAAAATGTTTTAAGGGGGGAGGGCTGCTTTCAAACTAGGCTTTTTACTGTCCAGCCTGACTTTGAAATGCCTCTCCTTAGAATCAATGACATGATCAGAGTGGGGAAAAGGAATACGGCTAACTTTCATGATCCTGGGACTGAACCCATTCATACCTCAGAGTTTCCTTAACTTGTCAGTGTCCTATCTGATCAATTACTAGTTGCCAGCTGGTCTGAATTCTGTGCTGTGCTAAATTTGCTAGTATCTGGTTGAAACAAACATTTATCAAAAGTGAAGTGGAATTGTGTCTATGTTTGATTCGTCCTAATATTAAAGGATGTTCTACTAAAGAATGTGCCTGAGAAACTGTGTTTACAAGAACTTCAGTACCATGGCGACCCAGATTGCAATAGGCTGGTCCTGTAAAACCACTTAGAGAGGGCTGTAAAGCATTACAAAGCGGTATATAAGTCTTAAGTGCTAGTGCTATTTCTCTGAATGAAACTCTCTTTAGAAGTTATCATTAAATTCTTAACTGAGTGCAACATGGTTGAAATAATATATAGGTAGCCCTCAGCCAATGACCATTATGAAGCCTGCCCATTACAGTTGGAAATTGTGATAGCTGTTAAGGAACATTAAGTGATGTACCTGTGTGATCACCACTCCCTGATGCAGTCATTAAACAAAAACATGGGGTCCCTCAGGGGCCTCCCCCATCCCTTGAGGCACTTCGTGCTCTGCTACCTTCCCCTGAGGCCTGCTTCTCACCCCATTGTGTCCCACACCCTCATCACCCTGCGTGATCCATTGGTCACTTATCTTTCAAAAATCTCCGGAGCTAGGGTTAAGGAAGGAGGTCCGGTCACTCCTTTAGTGGGACCTGTGGCGTTTCCAGAAATGGCTGCCATTTTCTGGACAGCTGCATTGGATTGGGATTCGTGAGGTGAGGAGGAAGGTGTAGAGCCCAGTGGAGTTTGAAGCAGACCCAAATACCGGTGGGAGGAGATGGGGAAGGAGATGGATGGAGTGGGTGTTTCCTATTGCAGCATCCTGCAGTTGGTCCTTAGGACAGATGACCATGGGACACTGCAGTGGCTGTTACTTCGGAATCAGGTTATAAGTAGCATTGGGGGGGGGGTCTGCTGTACCTTCAAATGGTCACTAAGCAACCAGTTGTAAGCTGATAGTACCTCCAGCTTTGCAGACAACATGCTTTTGAGAACGGGAACAAGTAGTAGTTGCTGTGGGACTTTCACGTGCTTTCTGTAGAAATCTGGTTAGTCACTTTGAAAATGGAAGATTGAACTAGATTGGCCTTTAGTCCACAATGTAATCCTTTGGGAAGTATGACATTATTTGTTCAAAATGTTGCATTGTAACTTTAAATTGCACCTGAAAAACTACCTGGAGACGTACGTTTTGTTTTCCACTTATCCTAGAAAGAGCTATGTCTGTTTTGTTTATTCATTTGTTTATGGCCAGATGCCATAATGATTGTATACTATTTATTGTTATTTATCACTAGTGTTTCTGTGCTGCTGTGCTTCAAAACAGAGAGAAGTCAAGATTAAAGACAGCAAAGAAATCACAATATAAATTACAATAGCACTAACCAGCTGATGTAGATCATAAAAGAAAATCTGACATCCTCCAAATGTAATTTCAGAGCCAGATTTTTACCATTTTTCAGAAGCTTGATTAAAAAGAGGGTTTTTAAAAAAATATGTGTATTCAAGCTGTTCCACAGGAGGAAGGCTGCCAAAGCTTCACATAAATAAAAGCAAAACAAGAAGAAAATAAAAACATCAACATTTAAAAATCAAAACCAAGCCGATATGAAATAGAACTGCTAACATAACCAATGTAGAAAATTAAATCCATTTTATTTATTGAACAAATCTGTATCCCATCTTTTTACTCAATTTGGATGCTCAGTGGAATTTTCCCCCCTTGAAACTCAGTTCAGGAGTAAAACGTTTCAGCTTATAAACTGCTGGAAAAGTTATGTAGTTCTTTGATGGTAACCCAGACAATTAAAAATAAATTAGAGCCAAATCTTTCCTTTTGAATGAGAACACATTTTTTTTGCCCCTGAGGACAGAAAAGCAGAGGAACTCTGGTGTGATTTTATCCTTCCGTTAATGCTTAAAATGCTTTCCCACGAATATGGCCACCCTCAAATGGAGAGAATGTTCCTTTTTCATGGTCTGTACAGAATTTTTATATGCCTGTGCCTTTGCCATATGGTAAGACCATTCATATTTACAGCAGTAGAATTGTAACCAAGGGGAAAGCATTTGCCATGGGGCTTAGCTTTGTAGCCTACAGTATTCTTTTAGCAAGAGAGTATGTCTTCCAGCCTTAAATAGGCTTGCCAGGAAATGTAGTACTGAAGCCAGAATGTTTTACAAGCACACTGTGGGTTGAGCTAATTGTTCCATTCATTGGGCTTCTAATAAAAATATGCTTGCAGGTGTTTAGGGACACAGTGTGGACTCTTTATTTGAACATTCCATTGGGACCATAGTGGCAGTATTTTTGTTTTATTTACAGTTAGAGGTAATTAAAAAATGTGTACGGAACAAATAGAATAAATTAAGAACACATGGAAGTGAGTAAAGTAGGTACATAACTCTAAAGTATAATAATGAAATTCTAATAAGTCATAAGATATTAACTGCCAGGCACCGAAAAACCAGGTTTACATGTAAGGCACCAGTTAAATTGATTTATTGCTAAACAGTCTACCCATAAGAATCTCCTCAACTAATGGTTAGCACCTGCTAGAAGTTCAGATAAAGGTCAATACAATGCAAGGAGTGGTTGGGATTTAGTTTGCTTGTGACTACACAGGGATCTAGGCTGATCCCTCTTTTAACTCTATCCCCACGGGGCCACTCCTTCTCTACATTAACTGATTTCAGAAGACAACCATTTTGGTTCTGAAATGAGGGTGGTCCAGTCTGGCATGAGTTTAAGTCTTAGAAGTTTTCTTTTCCTTTTTCCTTTTTATTATGTTGTTGTAAGCCTGGATACATTTTGTTGTTTCAGTACAGCACAGTTTATACAATATTAATTGAAGATTATTAACATTATATTTAGATATCTTCGAGTATTGAAAATTAAGATGGAAATACCCTTTTCTTTCACTATTAATTATAATACAACGATAGTACATGGATAAAATTATGTGAGTTTTTCATACAAAATTGAGTATAACATTGGCAAAAAACCTGCTGCAAATTGCATTAGAAAGTTTGTTATATGATAAAGGTTTTGATCTTAAGATAATTAGTATTAAAATTATATTACTTTATATAAGTACATATATTAAATACATACTTTTTGTATACACATGCATACAAACTCATTAATAAAAAATAAAAGCAAATTTAACAAAAAATATCAGAGTGGAAAGAAAAGAGAAAAAAAAGGAAAAAGGGATTTTTTTCTTAAAAAAAGAACTATTGGATTTCTAACTTTCCTCTTTTTATACATCTGCCAACTGTCAATATTTTATAGGCATTTAGGCTCCCTTAGAAGCCACACTCTAGGTGATTATATTTCCATCCATGTGATGTGTTCTATATAATGTATAAGACCTTTTTAGGCATTTCTGTCAAAAGATGCTATGTTGTTTCTAAGTAGGTTTATAATTGCTTTGCCATAACAGTTTAAACATTTTTCTGAGAAGAACTGGTTATTTTTATTTAGTTATGCACACAAGGTTTTATGTAATAGCTGTTTCTTGGATCTCAAGATGATTTCCAGTTGTCGCAAAATAATAGAAAGTCCAAGAAAAAAGATGCGTGTGGCCCTCCTGAGCTCTGTTTTCACTGGCAGAGGGCTGCAGGAGGCCATCGTGGCTAAAAACGGAGCCTCGATGAGTGATGTCGATGAGTGATGACACTCGCCCTGGTCATGCCCCCCCCAGGGCCCCCGAGGTGAAACAACCCTGATGCGGCCCTCAATGAAATCAAGTTTGACACCCTGCTCTGTAGGAAGTGATAAGGACAGCAGGAAGAAGATGTATTTTTCTCATGCGATACAGAAAATGCAGGTGCTGCTGTGCCCGCTTCGCTAGTGTCTCGCTCTTGAACGACCAAGCCAGCCTACTTGCTAGCTGCATACAAGGAGGCCTGGAACTGGAATACCGATTGAAGCTGGAATCACATTCCCCCTTGCCATGATGTCCTTCTACTGTTCTAGTAGAAATCATGAGTTCAAGAGGATCCCCAAGCCATGAACCCAGTCCTTTTGTGGCAGGGTGAGTCTATCCAGAGCCAAAATTGGATACTGGTGGGGTATAACTCCAGCCTATAGAAGGCAGAGTTCATGCCACAGAGAGCTTTGTCTAAATCCCGAGTCTTCTCAAAAGAATCTCAGATGGTCTCATAAGAGATTGTCCGAGTTAATCTTACTAGACTTTGTTCAACTGGTATCCATCTCTGAATGAACGAGAGCAATTATATTATAACATAGTGTTCTGCAATTCTTACCCAAGAGGCAGAGTAACCTTAGATAGAGTCTTTAAATACAAATCTCAACATGCAGAAAACATAGTGAAGTTTACATGTTTCACTGCTCTTACCACCATGAAACACTGCCAAATATAGCATGCAACCATATGCATTCACATTGTTTTTCTTCATTATTGTTCCAAGCATCTCTTCATTTGCTTCGTTTCCTGCAGCTTCTCAATAATCAAAGAACCTGTTTGATTCTGCACAGGGCAGTTAAATGAAGCGATATAAAAATCAATAAAATGTCATAGACAATTTTTCTCTAGGGATTCCTTTAGATTTCCATGGTGGATTATGTGTTTTTCTCCCTACTTGCCTGTACCAAAATAATATTTACATTGGTTAGAAGATCTTTGAAGGGAAGAAAGAAGGAGAGAGCATGAAATCATGAGATCTTTGTTCTATGAACCTTCTGCAGTTTTGGAAATGTGTTGGGTTGGTGGATTCTGCATTACTTGGAACTAGCTTCATCAAGTTCACTGTACTGAAATGTGGAGTAATTCTGAATTCTTGTCTTGGCAGGAGAATGTGTCGCTCACTGATGTTCTTTCACTGCAAGATAGCTGTCTTACTGAGCAAGATATTTGGGCTATTTGCCTGGAGTGTAGTCAGTCTTTGAAGAACATTATCCACTCTACAGTCTTCCAGACCCTTTGCATCACTCCTGACACTTTGGCTTTTAACACCAATGGCAATGTATGCTTCATGGAACAGATCAGTGGTAAGTATGCAGGCTGGTAGGCAATTTGTTGAAAAGTTAAAAAAAAATCCCACTGAGAGAATGTAGTGAAACATTATATTCTCTCTGTCAGATTTCTACATGGATTTTAATTAGAGTATGAACCATAATTTCTTAAGTGCAACAATGAATGTCAGCTCACATCAAACTAAATTAGGTTATATCTACTAAATGTATGTTCATTTAGGTGTTATAGTACTCAACTAAGATTACTAGATTAAATTTAATATGGTTCTAAATTTATTTCTTTGATCTAGTCTGTATTTTCCAGAGGATTTTATGCAATAAATGCTACCCCGCTTTTGTATGAATGTTTTTAAACATAAACAGAATCTGAGAGCCAAGAGAGGATATATAGATAGATTATACATTTAGTGTTCATTATATATTCTAACTGGAGAAAAGCTGACATTAATTAGCTCTAGTGGTAATATACATTATTTAATATATAAAAAAGCTAAAGCTAGCAAAAATAACTTTCCCCCTTTCTTTAGTGAACAGATTTTATGTGTGTTCCGTGAATTTATTTTATTTATTCATTTAAAACTTTTATATAGCTGCCTCCTCTTAAAACAACTCTGGGTGGCTTGCAACTAATAAAGCACTATAAATATAGTATAAAATAATACAAACGGTATAAAAATCAAGAGCGATAAAACTAAAAATAGAAAAGCCTGGCGAGACAGCCGCTGAGGCACTCACATTCTCATTCTGTCCTGGGCTCCCCAGATTTTAAGGTCCAAATATTAAGTGATCTCTGGAAGGATAGAAGGGTAGAGACCTGTCAGTCACAGGGAAGAGAGAGTTCCATAGGACAGGAGCTGCACAAAAAAGGGGATGCTTGAAAATTCCCATAAGATGGCAATATTTAAAGGAAGGAACCTGGAAGTTTTGTACTTTTTTAGAAAAAAATTGAGTGTGTGTGTATGTAAGGCGACATTAAATTAGCCAGAAAATGACGGTTCTAATGCAGAGTAGTAGTTGACCTAACATTGCTAGCCCTATTTGATTCATGTTCACGTGCATCCCAAAGTGCACCATAGGGGATGAACTAACTCTGCACCAAAAAGAAAGATGAGTGGCTTTTCTGGTGCATCATCTGGGGTCCTCTCCCTCCATCAAAGCCACTTCGCAAATGGGTGCCGCAACCAGAAAGGTCCAGCACCAGCAGGATTCTAACCATCCGCAAGAAGTGCCATCTCATCTCCCCACTGAAGTGTATCTATTTATCTACTCGCGTATGACATGCTTTCAAACTGCAGAAGCTGAGGCGAGTAATGGGAGCTTACCCTGGCACACAGTGCTAGGACTCGAACCGCTGGACCAATTAAGTCACCGAGCCAATGTGACTCCTAGGAGACCTGGAATATGGTCCCTCTGTCCGTTCTGGTGGGATGGATAGATATTCTCTGGGAGAAACTGTCCTTCCAGATAATCTGGTCCCACGCCATGTAGGGCTTTAAAGGTGTTAATCAGGATCTTGAATTGCAACCAGAAGAAAACTGGGAGCCAGTGCAGCTCACACAACAGGGGTGTAATCTAATCTTTGTGCATTTATTACCAATTGGCTAAGATAGCATGGCTATGTGACAAAATGTGGGAAATGAGAAATAAGCAAAAATAAAGTTAGTACACTAATGAGAACTCACCATATTTGAAACTATCTAACAAGGAGCTATAATTTTTTCTCCCTGAAACTGTTGCCTACCCATGTAATATTTGTGATTTATGACATTTTGGAAACCTTGATTAACTCTGGTAGGTTGTGTTGCAAGATGATAAGCCAAAGAATGAATTGGAAGGTATGTTTGATATTTCTGCTGCTTTGGGAGATTTATAAGTGAAGTTGTAGCTTGGTGTATAACAGTGGATGGCAATGTGGATGATATCCATAGATAGGGACCCTAGAACCCAAGCTTCAAGGTTCTGTAAGTACATTGTCTTATGGCTCTGGAGGAATCTACCCTTCTTCCAATCTCACTTTACTTATTAAAGGAAGATTGTGAAGAGAACAAAACCAGCTCACCAGGAGCCATGGAATCTTCAGGAGCTTGTTTCTCCTGACAGAAGTAACACACCTGAAAAGGGGGTGACACTCGTATCACAATGCCTGGTGCTACTTTCCTCATTTTGCCTCCCCCTTTGTCCCATTACAGATGCTATTTTGAGCACAAAAGAGAACCTTCATCTGAATCTGCTTTCGTAGTGTCTCTTTTTTTAATGGTGGGGAGAATCAGATTGTAGTTAAGTCTTAAGAAGCAAAGTTTTAGGATGCTTGGGGACTTTTTTGAAGCATCAGCTTTCTTTGTAACCAGCTTCACTCCATCCTTATTCTTGGTTCTTTTCAGTGAAAGTTGTGAGTACATCACCATGATAAAAAATCCACATAATGTACGGGAAGATTGGTAAGTTAGTGTAGTTTGTAAGCCAGGAATTTTTGAAACCCGAGTATCTGTGCATAACAATATAAGAAGATAATTTAAAATAAAAGTAAATGCTCTGTTTGTATTGGAAAAAACAGAATTCTGACAGATCAGATCTCTGAAAAATACAAAGGAATATTGTATCTACAAATCTAGGGAATATTTCCTTTTTTGTTCTGAACCATAAAGAGATATCCTCAAGAAATGTCTTTATTTAAGAGATTGGGAAACAATAGGGAGGAAAAAACCCAAGATAAATTTGGGAGTTTGCTAATCTTAAATTTGTTGAGGCGGTTTGAAATATTGAGATGTTTACCACTTAGCGGAAAAATTCAGAAAGAACACTATACCACAGTGGAACGTTGAAGGGCTATGACCTTAACTTCAGAAAATAGGATCAAGAACCTTGCTCTGATAAGAGGTTGGAGTAAATAGATCAAGGGGTAAAATTGGGGAGAAATAGCCCTGCCATGAAGGTTGTGGATGAGTGCCCATGTTTCATGTTTACCTGAGTAGAAATAGAAATACTAAGGAAGAGATAATATAGGTCAGGGGTCCTGAACCCTTGCTCTGCAGCCTGGTAACAGGCTGTGACCCATTGGGAACCAGGCCACACAAATGACGGACGAACAGAATAAGGCACAAAACTCCATTTGTGCAAGCGGCGTGCATGTGTGCCCTTCATTTGTGCAAATGGAGTTGTGCTCACACATCCACCACTTGGGCGGAACCAGCCCCTCTCCCCGCAACCACCGACCAGTCTGCAGAGCCAGAAAAGTTGGGGACTGCTGATATAAGCAATTAGCAAGCAAGACCTCCCAGAAAATATTGAAAAGAGAGCAACAGGAGAAACAAATAGAGACGTCCTTAAGGTTTTGATAGAAGAGGATCTTGTAAATTCCCTAGGATTCAAAGAAAAATTGACATTAAAACAAAATGAAAAAGTGTTTCAATGGGCCCAGGTATGTAGGTATAATGTATTATTTTCCCCGTAAATATTTCCATTATATTCTTTGGAAGATATTAAATTGCTCAAGCTCCCTAGGTGACCCAAAATAAATGGAGCAGATAATTTTGTCTGTGTACTCATTTCTGTCATGCCAGCCTGACAAATGTTACCATGTTTCATGTTATCTTTTAAATTCCTATTTTAGCAACGCAATTGTATTACTTCCAGTAGATTACAATGCAATATATAGTGGTAGCTCTCTAAATACCTCCTCTAACTTTAGTGGAAAGCCACTTAGCACTAACATGGCTAGAGAGTAACTTTGTCTACTCTATGGCTCTACACCAGGGGTCGCCAACCTTTTGGACCTCAGGGACCACCAAGCTCATAATTTTAGATCCCAGGGACCACTAACTGGTTCAGTGGGTGTGGCCTAATTTGTGGATGTGGCTTGGTGGTCATGTGACTGGCTGGGCATGACTTGTATTTAAATATTATAAATATTTATATAACTATTGATTTTTTTTATTAAAAAAAGCAACTTTTACCCAAAATCAGGCAAAGCAGGCAGGCTAGAAAGCAAGAAATGCAACCATTTCCCTCTTCCTAGCTAATCTAAATCTCCCAGCACAGCAGAACAAATGATGGTCGGAAAAAGGAAAAATAGAAATTTAGCAGGCAAGTTTACCGGGTAAGGAGTGAGTGGGTGGGGAGGATTCCTGCGGGCCATGTGGGCCTTGTGTTTCTGCGCAGCCTGGATTAATTGCTTTGGTGGGGTGCTCTGGGGGTGAGATTTCTCTGCGGCCCACCAAAATTTTCTCATGGCCCACCAGTGGGCCGCAGCCCACTGGTTGGCGACCGCTGCTCTATACTACTGTCTACCTTCTGTCTTTGGGCCTTAGTTTAAACCAGGGCTGTCCAACCTTGGCAATGTTAAGGCTTGTGGACTTCAATTCACATAATTGAGGAATTCTGGGAGTTGCATTTCACAGGTTAGCTACATTGTAACAGGTTGTGTGAACTCTGAAATGAATTTGTTGAATTTAACAGTGTATAGATCTTATCTTCTGTCCCATTAGTCTGTTTCTATGAACTATAGTTAAGATAGGCCATAACTTGTACTTCAAATAACATAGGAAATTGTGATTAATAATCAAATGTAGATTTAAGAAATGTTTTCAAACTCTTCTTGCAGCAGTGATAGAAATATGTAGCCAATATAGGAAAATCGGCCAATGTCATATTCCTGATGACCTAAAAACACTCTTCTGATATTATTGATACTAATTATCAGTGCAATTAGTTTTATTTTTTGCCTTAATATGGTTTGCTGAACAAGCTGTAAGATAATGCTGATTTAATGTTATGTTTGAATTTAGCAGTTTATACTTTTCAGTTTCCTGGTGACTCTTGGCATTTTTAAAAACAGTGCTCACTATTTTGAAGATTTCTAAGTAAATGTGGGTACTTTTCACGTACTTCAATATCTTTTGAACAGCCACTTGATCCTATATTTTAAGCCACAAATAATTGAAAATAAGCCTCAAGTTTACCCTTATAAGGATTGAGTGGTTGATTGTATGTTATTAAGTCAGTGTCAACTCTTTGGA